ATCCTGTTTGGACCTGTTGATGGGCCTTTGCTAGCTTCAGGCAGGTTTTGCATTGTTATACAAGTCCTATGAGAATGGAAAAACCCAATTGAAGCACGTCAAAACCATACATTCTGAATGATCTCCGATGATGATCAATCTGATGCTCACCAGGACTGCGTTTGAGTCTCACCTGGGCTGCATGCGGATCTCTCCAGAACTCGGCAGGTGGGAGCCGAGCTGGTGCTGGGTGCGCCATGAAGTAGGTAGAGGCAATATATGGCTGGACCTGCATTGTCAAAGACTTCTGCCTGAGGTCCCTGGCAAGTGTGGGACCTAAGGCAGCCGAACTTGTTTAAAAATGTAAAAGGACTGGTATCAGCCTTAAGAATCGGGACATCCGTACAACATAAATTGAGTCAATTCAAAACCCATGAGAAGTTGAAGTGTTTACTTCATTGCATTGCACTCTTTTGACTTGGTTGTCACAGCATCTAATCCATCCCACCACAAAATATCTGTTCTTGTCTTTCCATTTAGTGCCATTTAGTCTGCTCAGATTGGCTAAAGGGACCTGTAATGAAGAGCTCAAACATAAAGTAAAGCCAGCCTGTAGAAGAAGAAGAAGAAGAAGAAGAAGGTTTATACTTGGGTCACCCCCACAGCTTAATACTCTGCTATATTTCTGATCTCTGGCTCTGCCAGTATCTGACATTTCCCCTCTTGCAGCATGTTGTGGTTCATTCTGCCAGCCCCTGTAGACACATCCATCATAGCCGAGTTTTAAGACCTGGGCTTCCTGAAGGGTAAGTATTCATCTTCTTTTACAGGCTGGCTTCGTTTTATGTTGTAGCTTTGCATGATGCATTCACTTTAAAGGCAACAATCTCGATGGATTATGTTTTTTTGTGCATCGGTTGCTCATCGAAGGTCCTGAATGAATAGTTTAAGACATCTAGCCACTAGAAGGATATAATACACACCTGTATTTCAGCAGCAGGGTGTTAGTGTAATAGCCTGGAAAAAAATGTTGATATGATGAATCTGCTTTTGAGTCTGCACAGATTCATTATTTGTAAGTCCAGGCTCCCTGTGGCTACGTATCTACATGTTCAAAGTATTACTTGGCTGCATTCACTGACTTGCTCCAAAAGTGACTCCACGCAAGTGTCAGGCCCCATTCACACCTGAGCATTTTGTAAATCCAATGTCTAAGCTCTACATTGGCCAACAAGATTTGTTGCTGTGGTGGAGAGTCTCTGAACTGAAGACACATCGTCTATGTCTGAAGCATCTATGGTATTGCCCATGTAATCGCATCCCTGCCCGAGTGGTGGAGTGGCTGCTGGGAGTTGCATACAGTTAGTGAATTATACAGAAGAGCCCACTAGGCTGGTGTAGGCTGTCTAGAACAGTGATTCTCAACTTGTGTAACCTCAGGACCCACATTTGTCCTTGGTCATTAAGTGGCAATCCAAGTCGTACAGCATTGCGGTACCGTGCATTCCAGTGCGGGCGATTGAACTGTGGGCGGAAGGTACGTTTGGGGTGCCACCATTCAAATGAATGCACCTCCCATACCAGAACCAAAACTCGTAGTTGGTGCGATTGCGTGGTACAGTGGTATAATCACACAGAACTGTACGATTAACATACTGTACTAGTGTGAACGGGCCTTCAAAAAATACTGACAGACCCACACAACCACAATCTCACACGCTCAGACATTCTCACACATACAAATCTTTTACAATTACAATTTTTTATTTTTTTTTATTTTAAGGTCCACCCAATCTCCTTACTTTACAAGAATTTGAGTGGATCCTCAGGCTGGGGTCCAGCCCCTGTGCTGTGACGGAGCTCCATGCATGCCCTGTAGAGGTGTCGGAGCCAGAATGTGACGTCATTTCGGCCCAGGCTTCTCTACAGGAGAGGCGAGGGAGCTTTAAGCAATGCATGCATAGATGAAGCTCCCTCGCGGCCATAGTGCCCACCTCAAGCTGACGGCGCTGGGCAGCATATTTTAAATACCTGCTTGGCGCGAGAACTGGCAGTGCTGCACTACAGGGAGGCAGAGGAGCCTGTCGCCTAGAAAAGTGGAAGGCACGCGGTGACCCACTGAACAGCGGTCGCAACCCAATTTTGGGTCACGGCCCACTAATTGAGAACGAATGGCCAGAAATCCAAATCCTCTGAGTCGCACTTGACCCAATTTGAGACGGTGCTGTCCGGGGAGGCTTATAGAGCTCTGAATTTATTCTGAATGGGCCTTAGTAGACCCCATTATACCTATAAAGTATATGCCATATAGGTGTTGGATAGCTTGTCAGATTTTTGGGAGTTTTCAGTACTGTAGAAGTGCCAGACTTTTCATTGTCCTTCAGTACTCTTGGTATCCAACCTGCTGCCCTGGGAACGTATTCTGTTCTTCCTGCGGAGGTACTTCCGGTATATTCACATCTTGCTCTAATTTCTTTGATGTACACATGCACAGTCATTTTCCATTGCGTTTGCTTGTTTAGTCACTGAATAGGCAACTTTAAGGCCTTGTTCACACCAAGGCGTCGTTTTTGCACGTTTGTACGCTCGGGGCTGGCTAGCTTTTTTTTTTTTTTTTTTTTGCGCACACGAAGACATGCATTTTGACTTGCGCTTAAGAAACATTGCGCTCAATTGGCGAACGCACATACAAACGCGCAACATGGTTCTGTCGCAAGTTTCCATTGAAGCTATGGGGGGAAAAATACGCTGCAAAGTGCCAAAAGAAGCTCATGTACTTTTTTCTGTGTTTGGCATTTTGTTTCTGGCGTTTTGGTGCTGAGGTGTAAACAGGGGTCATTGAAAATCATGGGATTTCTTGTGTTGGGTGTTTTTTTTTTTAAGTGCTTTTTCTACTGCTCAAAAACACCCAGGTGTGAACCAGGCCTAACATTGCCCTTATCTCGGGGACATGTGTGAATAACTGGAAAAGTCCAGTTTGGCTGATCTGTGCTTTCCAGACAAATGATAGATGAAGTCTGCAATAGTCACAGGGTACTTGTGGCCGTTGTTTTCTCCTTCTGACATAATGGTCTGGACCAGGCATCTGTGGTCACCTTGCATCTGTGCACACCTTGAATCTATCCTCATGTTCTCTCCAGAAGATGGAAAAGCAAGATTGCTCCACACACACTAATGCCATCTTTTATGTTGCTTTTTTCTTACCAAGTCTTCCGGTGTCCATAAGGAATGCATTTCCTCCTAGAAATACAAGTTCTTCTGCAGCTGCTGGAACTGATGAGATAAACACATTCAATGACACAAGCATTATGCAAGCTGCAGTCTAAGGAAGTAGATCAGTCAGTGGTTTGTTATCTGGTGCCCTTCCCTTCTGCATGTCACACAGCAGGGCCTCAAATAACCTCACCAAGCTCTTTAATGAGCAATATAACCCTGGGTGCTGCCACACAATTATTTAGCTGTAGCAAAGAGGTTTGTAATTGAAACCTACTAAACCAAAGAACAAAAATTTAATATATTGCTGCTTGGATGCAGTGGCTGTATTAGTTTCCTTCTTTCCAGCAAAGTACAGTAAATACTTGTTGGTCTTGCCAGAAAGCCAATGTTGTCACTTCCCGTGCGCTAAACTGAAAGCACACTTATCTGTAAACTACTAAACCCATCATTCCTCTTGTAATGGAGATGAAGTATGGCAGACATGTTTGAAGTCCAGCTTGGGTGGCAGCCATGGCTCCAACCATAGATACAATGGAGGAGTGAACCTAGCCATCCAGGCACAGCAAGTGTTATTCGCAGGATTACCGAGTGAAAATAAACTAATGCCGGCACTACATCAAGGGACTTGTAAGCTGTGTAATGTTAGGGAAATAGCAGCAGGATCGCAGGACACAGGCTTTTCAAATAAAGTAAAGTTTATTCATTTAAAAAGCTTCACAGCAGCAAAAATAACAACGGTTCATCTTCATCGACTAGCTGGAAAACTTAAAGTAGTATTATGGTCTGGGCGTTTGTTACCTTGATGCATTCTCTGCATTAGGGTAAAAGCAGCCCAGCACCTTTTTTTTCTACTCCAGTCCCCCCCACACTTGCCTGTCAGCTGCGCTCGTCCCTGCCGCCGGTCCCGAAGCGATCCTCCGTAACCCGAACCATAGGCTCCTTCTGCCATCAATCAAAGAGGGAAGGGGCGTGGCCTGCCACAGGGCTGTCTGTGTCTATAGACGCACACAGCCGCTGCGGGCACGGGTGCCTCCGATGGTGGCACCTGTGCAGGGGGCGGGGGGAAGAGCATGGGGGGGACACACTAGAAAACGAGGAAAGAAGTACTTTTAAAGAAAAAACGCAACATCCTCCAGCAAAGGAGGGTCTCCTTTAAAGGAGAAATTAAAAAAACTTTGGCTTTAATATCACTTCAAACAGCGATTCTTCAGCATAACAAAGAATAACAGTCTCACCGACTTGGAGGTTTCAAAGTCGCAATCGCAGTTAAACAGTCCCAGACTTCCTGGGTAACTTTCCCAGTCAACAGGGTTGCACAAAGGATACTGACATGCACTTTCACCGCAATACACAATTCCAGGCTCCTCTATACTCCTCACCTGTTATCTACCATGTCCTGTCCTTTAAACACACACTTCCTCCAGCAGGTGAGTTAACCCAGTTTTCTCCCTTAAAGGGACCACAGCCCAAACTGAGGGGAAATATAGCGTCCTTCCAGGACCCAGCCCCGCCGTCCTGTACAGTTGCAATATATAAACTTTCTTGTTTTTGGGGTTGAAATAAGTTTTATTTTTTTCTGAGTTTACACAGATTCTGCTTTGCATATATGTTTATTTTGGTAGAATGCACATTTTACCAAGCTCTTATAAAGCTACAAGCCTATAGGAAAAACAGCATTCATGGAGAAATTCAATCTTTTAGTTGTCATTGCTTCATTTGTAGCACGTTATTCTTCCATGTATAAATCAGGATAAAATATGGTCTATCCCCGATATGTGTTTAATAGATAAAATTGTATTTTGCAGGAGATGTAATTGCACTATGTGGGAGCAGTGAAGTACTAGGTGCCTGGAAGCCACAAAATGCAGTTATTCTGCAGCCCGACCCCAATGATTGGTAAGTAAAGAAGAGGTTATATGTGTTACTGCTGCTTTTATTGCCTGATAGTTCAGTTAAGATCTAAAAAAGAAAGCTTGCACATGGACTACAACACTCTCTTTTTAGTCAGGATGATGTGTGTAATATCATCGTGCTTGCCAGTGGGATTGCAATCATTTTTACTGTCTTAGTTTGCATGGAACACATGGGTTTTCCTTGTGTAGGGTTGGTTACGTATTTATCATAAAATGCATTTAAAAGCAAAGCTTGTGTAGAAAGGCTAGGCCCTCTGTTGAGCTGGCCGTACACCTTACAATTATCTGCAGATTTTCTGTGGTCAGATGGAAAAGGTGCAACAGATTCCTCCATCTACGCTAAACTGTGTGTGGATGGAGTAATCTCCACCTGGGCCAATCTGTGGAACTTTTTGGGTTGTTATAAAGCTGTCTGTGTACCTGCTGGGGAGAGTCACTCCCCTATTTTTGCTGGAGTATTAGAAGATAAGTGCTGGTGACTAATCTTCAAGTACCTGAGGTTTTTCACAGCATCATCTGCTACAAGCACCACCCTATTTGTAATCTGTCATAATGCTGTACGGTGTGCAGTTGATATCTACAGTGATTCACTGTTTGTGCTGGAGACTATTGACAGGTGACGGAAGGTTATAGAATAGCCAACATTTTAGATATGTCAGCAGAATAAGAGCTGAGGGTAAATCTTTTAATAGGCACACCTCTTCAGGTGACAGCTGTTTAAGAGGGCAATTCCCTTCATTTTTGGAGAGATTTTCTCTTTCCTTGTATTTTTCTTTTTTGTTTCTCCACAACCGGAAGGGTATGGAAGTCTCCGCCGGTGGTCACCCAAATCAAAAAAGCCTGACGGGTTTTAATCCTTCCCCGCTCTACCCAAAAAAAATGTTTTGCCGTACAAAAGCTGAACCCTGGGCAGCTATGAATTTGTATATTAAAGTTCCATTCACACCATAGCATTGCATTAATCCCACCATACTCTGGTATTAACATACGGCGCACCTAGTGTGCGTTACCCCGTGTTAGGTGAGTTGCCATTCATCTGAATAGCACCCCTCCCAGCCGCTGGGCATTGCAGCGCAAAACACATGATGGATGTGGTGAAAATACAGTATTGCGGTACTGCTTGTTGCGGTACACTTGCAGCTTATGTCCGGGAGGTGCGTTGGGGTGCCATTCAAATTAATGGCAATGCACATAGCAACGCTTGGTAGGTGCGATAGTGTGCGATTAACGCCACAATATGGTGTGAATGGGTCCTCAAATAGAAGGTGGAATAGAAAACTGCTTTTTTATCACTTATGATTACTGGGGAAGGGCATCAGCAATGGAGACGTTTTCTCTACGCCTGAATGTTCTGTAGCAACCTGATTTTACTTTATTAAAGGGGCAAGCAAGTCTAAATTAAAAAAAAGAACCTGAAGCATACATTGTTACAGCATGACCCAAACCAAAAGGGTTTATGCTTTTAATATTTATTGATTCTAGAATATTGGTTCTCCATTTGCTGACTTGTTTTTGAAAATGGAAGTTTCAGGACAGAACACCAGACATGCAAATGCTTGTTTCTAGATCACCTACTCACTAGGTAAAGAAGAAAGGTGAGGATGACCACTCTGCACTGTCACCTGCACCTGGGCTTGTACCTGGCATAGGCCAGGAATGGTAACTCAATTTAAGTTTAGGATTTTTCAGTCTTGGGGATTTACGCATTATTTTGAAACAAATTAAAGTTTTTTTCTATTCTCCATTTATAGAACTTTTTTGAGCTCTTCCCTTGCATTTTAGTGTTATCAGATTCCTCTATGACCTCTGCATACAGTGCATACGTTTTCCCTTTGCTTGTATGGTTTCCTCCTGGTGCTCTGGTTTTCTTCCACAGCCCACACACATCCTTAACTGGTTAACTGGCTTTCACAAAAAAATAGGCCTGCTGTTTATAACGATGACATTAAATTGCACAGAAACAAATGTGTATGGTTCATGATCCTTTTATAAATTGCTGCATAAATGACAGTGCATTTATGTGCATCTAAATGGGTAAAATAAATACATTCATGATGCCACTCATCTTTGTCTAGAAAGCTTGGTTTGAATTTAAAACGATATTGTACAGTGATGCATGTTTTTTTGTGTTCTTTTCTTATAGTATGGTCTGGAGAACAAATGTTACACTCCTAAAAGGAACTCCAGTACAGTATCGATATTTTAAGGGCTTCTTTCTGGAACCAAGGGTACGTTAATCTTGTTTCTGACCATAATTTGGCAGATCTTAGAGTGTGGTAAATGTGTGGTAAATGTGTACATGTATATTGTATAAAGCAGAGCTGGAAATATTTAGTAACCCAGCATCCACTGCTTTTGTCCTGTAGCATTTTGTACTGTGTATGTTACCACTTGTCTATCTGCTCTTGAAGCAAATCAAGATCATTGTTGAATCTCCCCATGCTACATGCACTTGGTCCTATTTTGATCTGCGCTGTGTTTGCTGAGCTAGTGTGATCGACAACTTGCCCCCTCCCTCCACTGCTGTTCGACGATGCTGCTCATCAGGAGACTAATATCTAATGAGGTCTGACTGACGGGGTACACCGAGAACCAGAGGCTGTGACCGCATCGTCCTTCACCACAGCAAGTATAGGCAGAGCGTGTCTGCATGAGGCTCCAATGTATGTCCTGTTTAGTACAAATTCCTGTGTCACCTTAACAGCAAACTTTTTCAAAGACTTGCACAGGGTTGTCTATAGTAGCAGGCAGATATTGAGAATCATGGCTGCATGTTATACTTGTTAGAGGCACAATCTGTGTGCTCAGAGCATAGAAAGCAGAGGGGCTGATGCCTATACTGCTTTTATTGTACAGTGTGGCCATGGATCAGAATGGGACCACATGCTTTATGCACTTTATTCCCTGGGGGATTTCACAACGATTTGAAAATTCTGCTGAGACATCTTCTTTAATCTGTGCTAGTAAACAATCTACTTTTATTGGATCGTAACCATATTATTTACTTCTAATAAAACAGGATTATAAAACAACTGCTAGTCCGTGGTGTCTAGACTACATTGTGTTATCTGAAAGTCTACATATCGTTTGTGACATTCTTAACAATTTTTATATTCAAGATTTTTTGTCTTTTTACTTTTGCTCCATCTTTCAGTACACATTTTTGTTAAGCTTTTGGCTGTGATAAGTATAACTGCAGGATAAAGTGGAACTAAATTGAATATGGGACCTGTATGGGGAGGTTCCTTCACCCGAACACCCATAGATCTTATTTAGATGGGTGGCAGGCTCCACCGCCCTGTGAAAAGTGATCTGCAGTGGATCACTTTTCATAGGGTGGTAGAGCAGCGGTTGCCTGAT